GTGGGAGAAGGGGGTAACCGCCAGCGCCGCTCCCCTGGCCAACGGCAGCCTGCAGCTGCGGGCGCTGCGCCCCGAGGACGCCGGCACCTACGCCTGCTGGGTGGCGGGTCCCCTCCTCAACGAGACCCTTTACGTGGAGCTGCTGGTGCACAACTTCACCCTGCACGGTCCCCACGACACCCTCAACACCGCCTACACCACGCTGGTGGGCTGCATCCTCAGCGTGGTGCTGGTGCTCATCTACCTGTACCTCACCCCTTGCCGCTGCTGCTGCTGCCGTGCTGCCGACAAACCGCCGGCTCCCCGCGACGACAGCATCAACTCTTCCGTCCTCAGCGCCACCCCCAACCACGCCGCCGGTGTCCCCGGGGAGCCTTGCCGGTCCCGCTCGGCCTCCGCCACCGGCCTGGGGCAGAACGGCAGGTTCGAGGTGGGGGGGACCCCGCAGCCGCCCCCCCGGCACGGCCCCAAGGCGCAGAGGAAGGTGTCGGATCCGGACTCGGTCAGCTCCGTCTTCTCCGACACCCCCATCGTGGTGTAGAGGCGGGGGGGGCATCCCGGGGCCCGCGGGCCCCCCCCCCCCCCCCCGCCACTGGGACCGGTCCCCGATGGATGCGCTGCGGGCAGGGGGGGGCAGCCTGGACCCCCGCCGCCGTGTCCCCAGCTTGGGAGTGACACATGCCATCACCCCCCTGCATCGCTGCTGTCCACCCACACCGCCCTCCGCCAAGGTCACCACCACCACGCCGGCACCACGGGACTGCGAGGGACAAGGGGGCTCCTGTGGGGACAACGTGGCCACAGAGCCGGGGGCCACCGGCCCCATTGCCCGCCGGGCCCCGCAGGACTGCGGGTGACAGTGACAGTGCCCGGGCCGGCTCAGCGGGTGCCCCCCGGGGATGGTGGCACCGGGGACACCCACGTGCTGCGACGCTGGGCCCTGGAGGACCCTCCCCGCGTCGCCACCCCCCCCGGCATGCGTATGGCGAAGCATGAGTCCCGCCGGGGGAGCATGTGCCACCCCGGCCAGCGCTCGGCAAGGGAGGGACACGAGGGCCATGTCACCCCCCGGGGTACGACCCCCACCCCAACACCCTCCTGGCCCCCCCATGCAACCCACAGCCGCAAGCAGAGCCCCCCCCACCCGCAGGG